AATCGATAGAAAAGCTTCTTAGACAATTTTTCTCATCATCAAGTTCAATTACCGTAACATCCAGTTTTAAGTGTCGTATAGAGTTTTAAAAACTATTTAAACTCGTACGTGTAACAGCGTGAAACATCCTTCGACTGGAGAGAAACTACTTGTTCGCACTACAATAAATATGAATTAGATATATTATATCGATTTCTTAACAATTAAACGTCAAAAAAATAATTTATTCTTTTAACGGCTCAGAAAATATTTTCGGCTCGGAATAAGTGTAGGCACAAGCGCAAAATATGGATCCTCTCGCGTCTTGGCCAGAGGACGAACAAGGCAGCTTTTGATGCGCCAGCACAGACAACTCCTTCTCTATTTTGCTACGCGGACCAGGCGAGCGGCTCCCAATTCTTGTACTTAGCAGTCACTACACTCTTAATGAACCCTTCACTTCTCCTGCTCGTCCACACCAATGAAAGACACCTAAAAAAATGAAACCGCCATCCGAAACCACACAGGAAGTTGTGTATATTCCCGAAACTGGTGAGGGTTGTTTGCAAATTGCGTTGTTATCAAAGTTTGGCTTATTACGAATTTGAATTCCTATTTATATAGTTTTCTTCTTACAATTACGTAGAATATTTCTACAAATAAATGAAATTTGTACATAATGCTTGATCTGGAATAAAATATTGTATCATTCCACTCGTGCTCTGGTTACAACTTACAAATGAAACAAGTTGCATAATTTGTAAAACATGTTTCATGAAGCACACAAATATTCAATAAAATTATCAAATTTTAAACAAATTTATTCTAAAGTTAACAGTCAGTTCACTTTGCACTTCTCTACTTAAATAACAAAACATGGTACAAAGACAAAAAGACTAAAAAATTTAATTATTGTTAATAAATACAACGATAATTCAATACCAGCAATATTAGTTAATACACTTCTTTAGAGACACCATATTAACTTTCCGTAAAAATTTTCATGACAAATAGTACCTCTATTTTCAATATTTCTATCTGAAAATCAATGGCAAGTTTTTTATCTTAAAATCCTAAAGTAGCCACTCATCCTGAAATTCTAATTTATTTCTCCATGTCTCTATAGTTTTCAAAAAATCGTTCCTAAATCAGTTTAATATATACACGTTATCTTATTTAACTTTTATCTTATTTATCTTTATCTTTATATTATCTTTATATTATCTTTATCTGATGGCCGCTGAAAAAAAAAAACAGAAAAATTGCATATCATCATAGAATCAAATCTTTCCAGCAGTGGATTTATCCTCATAAATTTTCTCTCTTACAGCACAGAAAATGCTTTAAAGTTCTCGATGCACATAATTCATAAAATGTTCCTCAAGTTGAGTTAAAATTACGCACAAGACGATGAAACGCACAGCAGACCAAACAAACAAGCAGCGGCTGCCTTCTTGTAACGGTGAACATTTTCTCCGGAGATTTGCAAGCGCAGCAAAATATCTTAGAGCTAATTCAACTCAAAATAATACACTATCTTAACATATAGTATTTTTCGTTGTTGTTAAATCATAGCTGATACCATCTTCATTATTTGATGAATCAATTTTATCCGTGAATTTCTGCAACAATTTATAATAAAATTATTTAAACCTAAAATAAAACAAAAACAATAATCTCACTAGCATCAAGGCAAGGTTATAGATATATTTGATGGGCACATATCAGTAATATGTACATAAAATTTTTTCTAACATTTCAAGGTAAATCACTTGAAGAATTTAGTGATAAAAGAACGTACAATATTTTTGGTGCACTGCAGAAAGCTCAAGGACAGCTGAGCCATAATTTCACCCTAAGTAACAACAAATCTAAACACTCCAGGCAAGATGCATGGTCCGTTGCGTGTTATGATAATAACCACGACGGTTGTGCACGTCTATTACAGAGCTAAAAAATTGACGTCTAAGCTCACATGCATATTCCTTTATGTGTATGAATAAATAATCAAATCTGGTGTTTGATACAGCATGCAGTTAATCTAATCATATACTTCTCCTCTGCTTCTGAACTACCAAGCGTTTTTGTCTCACGAAATCGAACGTGAATGAAGAGTCTCACTGCTTCTGTAATAAAGAAAAGACCAGAAAGAATGCAAATAAAGAATCGGAAACTATATTATTGCTATGAATACAAATAATAATTTGTAGGCTACCACAAAATTGCAATCTGGTAGCGGGACCTAAACTAAAGCAATTCAATGCCCCCGAGTTCGAGATACCGTATTATTAATTTAATTAAAATATAATGGCTACCACGAATTTGGCCCGGTTGTGATCAGCGTTCTCTTGCTCAGGATGCCTCGATGGATTCATTGATTATAGATTGTTTGAGCGTGTGGAAGACTAAAGTGAATTCCGTACCACTCGTGAACTTGAAGAACTCCTGATGACGATTGAAAAAGTATTCAATATTCGTTAGTTCTTGCGGTCTGGCGATTTTTCTCTACTGTTCCAATTGTAAGGAATTAAATGAAGTTACAATTGTGAAAAAAATACAAAATTTAAAATAAATTTTCCACTCCTAAGCCAATTTCACAAAACATTTACTTCGAGTTTTCTTGAAGAAAGGTTTACTGACTTGCCTGGAATGTGCATGAATATTTAAAGTGAGAGAGTTTACATTAAAATGTTGAAATATGAAGAGATCAAATATTCGAATGCTCACTATCTTGTCATAATTCACAATTAAATGCAAACAATAAATAAAACGATCCAAATATTGGGAAACTCAATAGATTTCAAACGTAAAATTGTATTAAAATCATTCGAGAGAATCTTGTTTTACCCTGATAAATAGAAATTTAATATTATTAGTATTCTGAAAAAGTTTATAATTCCGAAACTAAATGCAGAGAATATAATTATTCGATTAAAGATATGGCGCACATTACTCAATAATGTATTCCTCCGTTAATCGTGGAAATTTGATTTTCCTCAGTAGTTCAATAATCATATAAACTCGACAATTTGATTTCCATCAGTAATTCAATGATCATATAAACTCGACAATTTGAGTTCCATCAGTAATTCAATGATCATATAAACTCAACAATTTGATTTTCATCAGTAATTCAATGATCATATAAACTCAACAATTTGATTTTCATCAGTAATTCAATGATCATACAAACTCGGCAATTTAATTTCCATCAGTAATTCAATGATCATATAAACTCGACAATTTGATTTTCATCACTAAATCAATAATTATATAAACTCGACAATTAAGGTTCAGGATCGAGTCCCGGGACCAGCTTGCACGTCCTTATCTTATCTGTTATCATGGCGTGGGACTTTACAATTATCAAGTCTATAACAGCGTCAGGACCACCGTGCATGTGTGGTCAGCATGAAGCTGATGATCATTGCATGGTAAGAAGCGTTGCAGAGCTGTCAGCTGAGCATCGTGTCAGTTATGTATGACGTCAGAGGGCAGCACAAAGACCCCTCTGTTGCTCTCTGCCCTCGGACTTATTATCTCTGCCACAAGATACGCCTCGGCACTGCAGCGTCTTCTCCTAATATGGAGATCTTGCGAAGAAGCGTTGCGTGTCTGAATTTTATCATTCACAGCTAATTCACTTAGGAACGAACAAGTCAGCAGCAAGCAGCATGGATCACGTATTTCAGATACGGTTATTTACGCTTAAAATCGGGCTCAATTCACGAGTATAGTTTCAAATAACACTTGCCCCAATAACACTATGGGGATTGTATTGGAATTTCATTACCAACCTAAAATATTGAAGAACCGTTTATTTTTCTCCTTTAAGTCCTTTTCCAGAATTCTAAAGATCATTCCCAGCCCTGGCAAAAGATTAATAAAAGGGTGTATAAAATTGGTATAAGAAAATTCTTTGCAAGTCAAGTCTTTAATTGTAGCCGAAACAACAGTCGATTTTCTCTTGCACGTGGGCATACACGCGCCGGCTTACACTTGGTATTTGTAGCACCTCTCAGTTATTGTTTCAGGCCAAACCAGCGGAACTGGAAAAACATTTGCTGAACAAAAGCAAATACAGGGGCAGTAAAGGCAACTCAATAAACAAGAAACCGAGGGAGTCATGCGAGCTAAGACTGCTCTAACTTCCTGCGCTGAGCGACGCCTAGGCTTCAGAGCGTCAGTGAAGCAGTGATGACGCCTTTCAACCTTTCAACCCGAGAAAAAAATAGGTTGCAACTACTGTGCATTTTATATTTGCGAGCGAAACTCTGGCCGAATATATATTTATATAATTTCGTAACATGAAAATGAACATAACATAAACCTTCAATGCTAGAAAATCTATATATTTTTCACACGTAATTACATTTTAATCATATGCATGTTATTAATTCACAATCAGAATTTTATGAATGAGATTGGCCATGCCAATGGTGAGCAAACGAGGAGCTATCTCAATTGAGTTGTTCCAGACGCAGATAATATCCTGCCTGCTTTCTTATTCATGAACGAGTCCAATTAAGCATTACGTGCTCATCGCAATCAACTGAGCATGCGCAGTTATCAGTGGCAGGGTAAGAGCATGACTGATGCATTTGTCGCAAGGATCCGCTGAGCCACAACACCGCTCACATGGGACAGTATACTTCATGAGACCCGCGGTTCGTAGAGTCCTTAATCATCAGAGATGAGGTACTATGACTATCAGTAGAGCTCGGACGCTCATTTTCATTGCAAAGGACACTATCGTTTACCACTGAGCCGCGCCGGTGGCCGAGCTTCTGCCCAACAACGCCCTCTTGTGCTCGGTGCGCGGCTATCGTGACCGGCAGAAGAGCCCTCATTTCCACTCGTGTAGATGAACCACAGGATTTCTATGAACCAGATTGAAATGTGCATCAATTTCAACATAAATCTGAATTAGTATGATGTATCATATACTTTATTGCGAAGTTTACGCAGATATTTATATATCTTTCGTGATTCATGGAATGAACATTATTTTTCTATTTCAGAATAAATTTTTACTGACTGCATTTCTCGCCCAAAAATGCATTCACTTGAAGATGTACGAAATTGATTACAATCGCTTTTTCTTTCCTCAAGAACTGATAGTCTCGCCGTAACTAAATCAGGCACAATGGACGAACAGGTCCGAGTAAGAAGTTTTGCCGTAAGCAAAACCCGACAGCAGCCCTGCACGTCGTCGCCCCAGTCGCGTGCGGTCGGCCTGTTGGTTGTAGCCACCCTGCTGCTAGCGCCGGCCTCTACACCCGTCGCGGCAGAATCCCCTCAACAACTTCTGCAGGTGCGCATTTAGTTTGTATGTTTTGAGTGCTGAAGATTTCGGAAAAAGAGTAAAAACTATGATATAATCAGAGACTCCCTGCATTGATATGTTTATTATTCTCGATGTATTAATATAGTCATGTGACGCTGGAGTGTTTTAAATGAGTGAATTTACCAATCGAATCATAATAACGTAACTAAGAATCTTTGAGTTTTAAAATAAATAATAGCTATGACTTAGGGCCACAATATTGTCAGGCACAAATTTTTATAGATGACGGATAAAACGAAAGAAATACTTATACCTATACAAATGTATTTTTGAAGCCGAACGGGAATGAATTGACTTTAAGGGGCATTCATGCTTCAAAATGCGATTAGGACATCACAATAACATCATATAAATAATATCGTATTATTACCAAGTTTCTACCTCTAAACAGCGTTAAGTGGCATTGCGTATTATTGCAATTTTATCTGTTTTGACTCATGATCCTAGGGTAGACTAATAAAATGCGATTTGTTGAGCCCAAACCCGCAGAGGAAAAGTATTGTATCTAAAAGCAGTTTGTTTTACGCCCACATACAGCCTTCACAAACGGTTGTACGAAAATGTAAACTTGCACCATGCACCCAGAAAAAACATGCAGGTGTAATACTAGGAGAAATCAGATTCAGTCTAATTAATTAACTAATTATGAATATATTAACTCGACCAGCAGACGCCTGGGCTGCGTGTGGAGCGCGCTGCCTTCTCACCTCCCACGGTCACGTCAGTAGAGCCTCACCGCCGGTAAGTTTGGCGCAGGTTAACAAGGAAGAAATTATGTTCATGAAAAGAAAAATGGGTCAAGTTTCCTTTATCTTATGGTGTTTGACACAAGTTTAAGCTGCGTGGCATTGTTTTAACCTATTAATTTATTTTAAAATAATTTCATTTTTAGGAAAAAAGTATGGAAATCATGTAAAAAATGACAATTTAAATTAAAAAATTAGGGTTAATTTAATACTTTTTTACAGATATTTTATATGAAACTATGATCGGGAATATGATATTTTATTATCGAGGATTAACATCTTGTTTCTTACAGTGGGATATCGAGCATAATGCACGACTCCAACCTGCGCGTGGGGCGTCAAAGTGAAGGCCCTTACCATCCATCGTACATGAGGAAAGCTCCCTACAGGCAGCAGTCGTCGACGCTAATTTCAGATGAAGAGAACCTGTCGCGACCTCCGACCATGTACCGCTCACCTGACCCTTCAATGGACTTCCAAACGGATTACGAGGACACATTACAGGACGGGTCGCAACCTCAAGCGGAAGAATACACCGCCGGCGCCCCCATCTTGTACGGTTCACATAAGATGGATTCTAATGACGCAGTGGAAAGCCTCGTGAGCGATCGAAAACAAACATTGTATGTCGCGGACTTGGTGCGTGTAAACGATGATAATCCTGATGATGCACGAAGCCGACAAAGACGCGTCGAAAGTTCCTCTTCAATGCCAAATGGAGAAAGATTTGCGCGTCACGGCCGCTTCGGAGAAGCAGGTGGCGTCAGCGAATCAGATGAGGACGAGAGGTTCGATACCTTTGGCAAAAAAATATCCGAGGAACTGTGGGTGGGACCAAGGAGGTCAGTACAATACTCTAAACTCTAATCTAAAGTAACTATTTTTTAAAATACCACAATTTTCGGAACCAGCATTTTTGAGTTCTCACGATAACTGGCTTAGTATGAAGTGTCGCCACACGTCGAAAAGTTAACACGATGATTCCAATAAAATTTTCCGGAACAATTCACATTCCTGGACAAAAAATCATTTTATTTCAATTTCCAATTTGCTTGTTTCCGCTGTCAATTTGCAATGAGCGCCTGCAAAATAACTAATATAAATAATTCAATTTATCATTCGAGCTGCTAATCCAACTGGTTTTTTATTGATAATTCGATTGGATGATGAATATCATAAATTTACATTTGAACGGTTTCTTTCAGGTCCGCAAGCCCGGTTCATCCGTCAGCTCGAGCTGTCCGTCCTAAAAACCGAAGCCCGAGCCCCAGCAACGGGGAGTCGGAAGGGAAGCTCGTATCCTCGCGACTGGGATTCAGGAATGGCAACACGGCTATTGAAGTTAACGACAACTCATTAACAACGAACCATGAGGAAGCGCTGCAACACCCGGGATCTCGTATGCTCGGTCGGAGCTCCCTCATGAGACCAGGCCACAATCGTGGCAAAGAGACGGTCATCATACGAGACCAGGCAGGAGGTCATGTCAGTAATCCGAGAATGCTAAGACATCGTCCCCAGAACGCGCAAAGAGGTTCAGTGCAAAGCACTTTGAGCATAACAGACGTAATGGTGCAAACTAATCAAACTTACGATCAATTTTTGAGAAATCTTAGCAATGTGGGTATAAGCCTCGCACATTTTCTGCGTGTTCTGAATGACGGCGCATCCATGGAAGATGTTTTGCGACTCCTAAACTTCCCAGAGCCAAACGCGGGCGTTCCTACCACCACAATTCCACCTCACGCACAAAGAAAAGGGGGAAGAAACTGGGAAGAAAACCTTCACAATGAAGACAGCAACGCAAACGGGAAAAGGAGACAGGGTGAGGAGTTCTCCGACTCCGTCTACTCTGCCGGCGTTCACCCCGTAAACCGGCACTCCAACGACGTTTACGGATCCGAGTTCATTACAGAATCGGGAGAGATTATCAATATGCCAGACTACACTCCGGACACTTCCTACGAAGATTACTATTCTGAAGATCCCGACGATGGATATGAGACAAAACTCCACGCTCGAGTCCACACATTCAAGACACAAGAGACGTCGAATGACGTTGAAGCCAACACTCCTAGGAACAAGTTTATTTTAGATGAACCTGTGGATCCGCACCCCAACTACAACCAGTGGGACCAGATCAGCGACTACAACTACAACACTCACGAGGGAATGTACGACGCCGTAAATACCGAAGAAACTCTCGCTGTGCGCGAGCAAGAGTTGCGAGTGCAGCCGGCGGAACCGACGCTCGAAAAGAAACCCTTGACTTACGCTGTCATAGCAGCTAGTGCCATCATGGGGAGCTTAGCAGTATTTACCTTTTTTGTCTTGATTGCGTACACGATCGTTAAATGTACCAGAAAGCCTACTCTTAATAACTACCAAGTCAGTGATAAAAAACCTGTTGAAGTAGCTTCAACATAAACAAAAGAATGTTTTAAAGTCCAATTTCATTAACTGGAGAGGTGAGCAAAATGAGGTTTAATAAGAAAATTACCTTTTTTTCTCACAGCATGTAGCAATTTCCTTTCTGACTTATTATTTAATCTCAGAAAACTTCATCGTAAAGAATTCAAAAGACAATTTTACAGTCATCAATAATTTATTCTCGCTAGATTGTCATTCATGGGGGCATTTCCAGTTTTTATGCAGATGGTTACATTATTTCAGGCAAAGCATGCTGCTTTTTTGCCCTTATGTTCAAGAGAAGCGTGGGGGACTTCTTTATAATTACCAGAGGTACCGTAGTTTATAAGTTTTCTTGACCAACGTGCGTAAATAGATTACCGCCCCTTGTTTAGCTTCTAATCTAATAGATCTCAACCGTTAACATAGGGCTACCACCTTCAAAATTTGCATTCTGCTCACTTACGTGCCATGTTCTTGTTTCAAATTATCGTCATTTGTGCCCGTAGTAATTTGAGAACCCAAATTGTACACGATGCGTTTCAGATTTGATAATGGTCTTCAAGAATATTGATTAATAAAATATTTGTAAATATCGCGTTAAAATCAGGACAACAGCAAATAATGCATATCGAGCGTTAATTTCAGGTGCATAATAAAGAGAGATGAACACTAATTATTATCTAGTAACTCTAGTTTCAAACCTGGAATCTAATAAAACATAAAATATAAATTACGTAGAATTCTTACTTAAACTTGCCCAGGGGATGCAGAAAAAATACTTTCAGCACTTTCTCAACTTTGCTCTTAGATCGAACTACCTCGACTATTTGTAAGCTGCTGTTCAGTTCACAAATTCATTCCTAATGTACTGACAAAATTAATAGTCATTAATTTAAGGAAGATAAGAAGTAATTTGTCTACAACAAGCTATAAATAGTGGGGTTACATTACTGAGAGAATTATTTACCTTCATCCAAGTTCAGTCTTTACGCATTTATGAAGCTTCGTAGGCATATTGCAGCTTTTGGTTTCTTTCCAGACCACCAATTATATACTTGGGCAACACCAATTAGAAAATTCATCGTTACTGTGAACAGCGAAGGTTTAACCTTTACTACAGTATAGATTCAGAACGAAATGCAGTTCATTTTTCTCTCTCGTTTGAGTTTCAAGTGTACAAATCACGATAGGCGTTAGTCTATGCGTGTCGTCTCCATATATTATTAGTGAGGTAACTCAAGTATCGAAGATACCAATGAAACCTTCCGACTTCTATGGAACGCATTGCCTGAAGTGGGGAAGTGTACACAACATCTGGGTGGTTCTAACCTACATGAACATCGTTACACATGAGCTTAATCAAATTGGAAGATCTTAAGTGGAATTATCAGGAATCTTTTTATTGAAGAATAAATGATAAATATCTTTCGGTTATGTCAAACGTGTTTGAGCTAATCCTCTGCCCATAAAATTGTAATTACATACAACTTCTACGCAGCTTTTCCTACAATATGAACTTTCTATGTATTTTGTGCAATTAAAACCATGATCATCAGAAGCATATTAAAGACTTCTTCAATTGCGGAATTACAAATATATTCAAGTAGAAAAATCACTAAATTCTGATGTCCACCATTATTACCGCCGAGGGATTAGGTCAGCTTCACTTGGAGAAAATTCATCGAATAACCAGTCACTTCGAATGCGTATACGAATGCAATAACGTATGCAACAGACGCTCTCATGTGGGCAACGTTGCTATAGTAACTCCTTTAATACTGAATTTATTTAAGAGAATTTAGCTTCTAATTGGACCATCCTGCAGTTGCTCTTTGCTGATTACTTGCAAATAGTAGATGGCGACACCGATGCGGCTAAGACTCAAGGCTAGGAGACGGACAGTTGATCTCTCGGTTAAGCTCTTTTATTAAAACAAATAGTTTTAGTATTAATGCGGCACACGAGTTGAGAAAGCCGGGATGAGGTATTATTTTTGCCAATAAATCATTAGTAACTAAAAACAAAACAGTAAAGACGACACTGTTATGTTAGAAATCATTCAACACTTGTATAAATTCAGTTGCACAATGCAGAGCATATTCGATGACACATAAACTATAGACTGGTTACAGCCTATTTTTAATACATGTACATAATTACATAAATTGATGACATGGGTCACGCTAAAAAACTTTTTTTTGTTTTTTTTTTTTTGCAAGAAAATGTCACCTATTAGAAGTCAGTTGGCATGCGATGATATAAAGCAGTGCCTCAACGCCTGGAATTCTATTGCAGGAAGAATAGCGGCAAAAAGCATCAGAAGACGAAGGTATTACCTCAAAACATCATAGGTTATGAGCAGTAATTTTAGTCTTGATATTCGTAGTGTAAACGGGGAACTGAGGACAACGCGGGGACAAACCAAACCACGGTAGTCAATTCTTTACACATAACTTATTTTTTTAGCTTTATGATCTATTTTGCAAAATCATGGCACTGTTTGAACTGTGAGAAAAGGTTGTGATTAAGTTCCAGAGTAAATTTTTCAATGAAATTCGTTAGTCAACGTATAGAAGGCATCTATAAACATCTTTCAAATCTAACAAAAAATGATGTACACAAAATAAAAGTGAAACATGTTGGAAATTGCAACATTTCCAACATGGAAATGTTGCACAGCACCCAGAACACAATGTCTAAGAGCGCTGGTTGAAATTCATGTTAAATACTATAAAATCTCTCAATAGAAACAGGTTGAAAACTCCTTCAATATCTATTTTAGTGCACTTCCAAAATCATAACTCTACAACTAGCTCGAAACAAACCGACGACAAAACAATTAGGCAGTTTTCAGGTTCAGTAACAATTTTCAAAAAATACGAGGCGAGGCTCTGTCGGGCAGAGAGCCAATCTTCAAGAGGAGACAAAGGCAGACGAAGCGAGGCTCTGTCGGGCGGAACTGAACAAGCGGGCCTCAGCTTGGAGGGCGCTCACCACGAGCTTGTCTCGAGCGTCATCGCTGTCCGCAGGTACAGACGCCTGGAAATAAAATAAATTGCTGTGATTGCTGTGTTTCAACACAGATTGCTGTGTTTCAACAATTATTAAGTAGGTACTTGATTTATTACAACAGGTAATAGATTAATATAATAAGAGGTATATAAAAAGTATATAGGTACGTTTAAATATTCACGAAAAAAAAACATCCCGTAAAATAGCAATCCAAAAAATAACCAGATTTATAAAGTAAAACAACCATATGTAGTTGGCTTCTACAGTATCAAGTGTTTACTGGGAGCAGATGACTGAAATGCTAGGAAAGCCTGAAACTAAATAACAGCCGTTATATCGAGTGAGCCAAATGTATAAGCTTCCATCGCGTACATACTCGTATTTTTTTTATTTTTCCAAGATTCTGATGCGACCAATCAATGCTCGGTTAAAGTGCGTTGATAAAGAAAGGCTTTGGTAGTTTTATCGTAGTTCGGGAAATGGACATTGGATGCAGAGAAGGGAAGATGTATCACAGCTCCTGGGGTGCTAGGTATTTTCCAGAGTCCGTACTATCAGGAATTATTACTATTTCATAACTGCATCAGCCAATAACTAGCAGCTTTTCAAGCTAATTTCACCAATCACAAATGAGAAATCGGTCACTACGTTCAGTCGTTCACTTAGGCCATCAAGTATACTTAGGCTGCTACGTTCACTTAGGCCAGCACGTGTACTTAAGCGAGTTATGATAGTATTGTACGGCCCCAGATATCGCGGCTACGGCACTGACGGTATCTCTGCCAAGAAGCCGCTCCTGCAAGTCGAACTTCACGGTCAAGAACTTGACAACAGCGGCCCGCAGCTCGGCGAGCCTCGGGTCGTCTTGCACCTCCAGCAGCAGCGCCGCAGGGCTTTGGCTCCTACGAACCTCCTCCAGGAAATCTGGACGAGTCGAAATAGTTACCTATTATTATTTTGAAATGATTAAGGTTCAGGGCTATAGAATATTGCATAAACCAGTAGCCATTCGTACTGATCTCCAGCATGGAATTTTATACAAATGAGGCACACAAGCTAACCAGACTTGGCGCAGTAGATAACGGCAGCCGCCCAGAGAGGGGCCGTGACGGGACGGTCGCCCCACAGCAGGCGGAGAGCCTCGCCGTCCCTCACACCTAGCGCCTCCAGCAGCGCCACCTTCGCCGCCAAGTCAGCGTCACTCGTGGACAAAGGGCATCGCACCAAAGCGTAGTCGTTTGGATTGTCTGAACATATACATAATTGTAAATATAAATAATTAAATGTGTGTGGATAAGTTTATAGATATCATCATATGGCTGGAAATTGTCACTATCAAAAAATGCGCATCAAAAGTTGAACGCTTGTGAAATTATCCTCCAGTTAGATTTAGCTTCAATAATACAACACATACGGTAGCACCACAACACTTCTGGGGATTCAAGTGACAAAATAGTTAAACTTAATCACAAGTTAACGCATAAAAAAATCACATAAACGGTAAATAATTCGCAGCAAAACCTGGCACCACGAAGCCACTGAGTCTGAAGAGCTCGGCGTTGTCGCGGTGACCGTAGTGCATGCTGAACTGCTCGCCTGCCGCGAAATGACGGTTCGCGTAGCACACCAGCTTGCCTTCCTCGCGTACAAAGTCAGTTGACATCTTGCCAGGAAAAATAGTATTTTATTTGATCATAAAACCTTGGGTGGGTGTCATGAAATTCTGATCAACATTACTTTAAGAACTAATATATATACTGATGCATATACTGAACTATATACTTTACTCAAGGACTACTACACACAGGACATGCATAGCCTATGTCCAGCCTCTGCTAGCAGAGGCGATCGCCTACACTATGAAAATGCTGTTGTTTTAGTGGCATCAACAAATGATATGCCCATAATTGTTTCATACAATAGTATTACAATGTGTGTAGTAGTCCTTGGTCAGAACCATAGACTTTTTGCCAGTTTTGAAGTTGAAAATTTTGTACTAAGCAAAGTAGGTACCATTTTCCTGCCTTCATACACTGATAAAAAAAATATTTAAATGGAGTACTCCATTTAAATATTTTTTTTATCAGTGTATGAAGGCAGGAAAATGGTACCTACTTTGCTTAGTACAAAATTTTGAACTTCAAAACTGGCAAAAAGTCTATGGTTCTGACCAAGGACTACTACACACATTGTAATACTATTGTATGGAACAATTATGGGCATATCATTTGTTGATGCCACTAAAACAACAGCATTTTCATAGTGTAGGCGATCGCCTCTGCTAGCAGAGGCTGGACATAGGCTATGCATGTCCTGTGTGTAGTAGTCCTTGACTTTACTATATATAACTTATATACCGGTACTGAATGCATCACAGAGAAAGTCGCTCAGTAAAACTGCCATAGAATCTACGTGAAATTGCATGCTTTACTTTAAATGAATCAAATGCCACAGGGTACAGAGAATTTTATAATGAAATCTATCTATAAAATATATCAACCTGCGAAACGGTGAAACATACTCACGTTCTTGATGCAGTTTTTACACTAACTTAAATGTAATCTCGTCCAAATTTTTCTAAGTGAAAGAAAGAAGCAAGGTATTAGGTCAGAACCTAATTTCCATTTAAAGCAGTTATAGGAACTTGAATACTTGATGCAGCTTAATTAAAAATTCACAACATTTAGTTGCAATAGTAAATTTAATACCTAGTTGATAATCAACAAAGTTAGAAGCTCAGTTTTTCACAGGCATCGGCACTAAGAAACTTTTAGAGCTACTACTTTAAAATCGAGTTAGATAGCAAGATTAATGCGAAAATCAGCAAGGATTTATCCACCTTGCCAGGCCTGTGGTTGACAAGGTCCCAGAGCGGCACAAGCACCAGCACCGGCGCCCCCTCCGCCACAGGGACGCTGTTAACCCGCGAGCACACACAGCTCACGGACCATCTGGACCATACCCACAGTAATATTAATGATGATGTTGTTAATCCTATAGAGATGGAATGGTCATCGGACAGTGATATTAATGATGAGATTATTCATCAAATAGAGGTGGTAATGACGATATTAATCGTACAATAGTGATGGTAGTGATATTGTTCATGCAACGGCGATAGTAATGATGCACTTATTCATCTGACAGTGAGGTAATTATCACAGTGATGGTTCCATAGTATGTCCCGCTGAGTTCGTTCTTAAGCCTAGGCACAACACCTCTCATATTCAACATGATGAAGTCAAGCTTTGCTCAGCCCTTGTGCTAGTTTTTGATCATTTTTTCAGAGGAAAATATTTGCATCTATCAAAAGCAAGTAAAGTGACTGCTGATTTGCTGTACTTGATAAGGTAGGTACCAACCTGTAAGCATCGTAGGTGAAATATTCCTTGAGGGGCCAGTCCCTAGCCTCAGGTAGCGAGCGAAGTAGACGATAGAAGTAAGCATACTGCCGTCCAATGTTACGGTAGTGCTTCACGCAACTCCCTGTGTACACAACATGTTTGACTTCAGTGTTGCTTCACTAATTGCCGGCAGGTTCTGGTCAGATTTTTTTAATATGATTCAACTCATAGAAACTGAACTCATGATTTTTAGAGAATAATTTTTGATGTTCTTTGTATACCGTACTGTTGCTCAGTCATAGTCAAGAAAGTAAAGATAAAGAATAAATATGGGCATTTTAAATCATCTAATATAGCCTTAAAACAACAGTGCAGCAGGCACTGCATTGAACAACCAAATCTGATGATAAACAATACCTATTGAAAATTCTATGACAGACTAACTCAAAGAAGTTTATTTAAAATATTAATGTATATTAGTACTTGTATGTTATGGTAGATAAATATAACAGTGTATTTGAGTGCTCAGGGTACCTAGAAGCGACGAGTTTTTAAGTGTTTGTATATGGCGAGGAGTGAAGTACAGAGGAGAGACGTGCTGGCGAGGCAGGCTGCGCACGTATGGCCGCCATTCCGAGTCATCATTGAGCAGCTCCACCAGTAGGTGCAGTGCGAGTCTCACGTTACCCATCTCTTGCAACATGGGATCTCGCCTGATTAATGTCCCTGAGTGAAAATTGTATCATTGAAAAAAAATACACTTGGAAACTTATTCATGAATCTATTCATAAATAGACTTAAATAAAAAAAGCACTTAATAGTAGTAAAATTGCTCAATAGCAATTTACACTGAAGTAAAAACACATTATTATAAGTCTCAAAAACGATAGAGTTAAAGACAGCTAAAAACAAAGACATATGCTGCAACTGTCCGGTGTCAATATTTCGTACGTCTCAATTACAGATAATCTAATATTAGAATTGAGTTATAATGTGTATAATGAGAGGCAAGATTGACACTGGACATGCCTAGTGAGAAGTCTGGTGATGCCAGATTGCCACCGGACATGTCCGGTGTCAATCTGGCGTCTTATTATATTCATTATAATTATATTAGAGGTTTAGATCATCTGTAATTGAGACGTACATAATATTGACACTGGAGACAACAACTAGCATTATGAAAGATATACCTATATATATTATACAACTAAAGATAGCACAATAGTACATGTGAGCATACACTTGATGCCTACCTAAGTATGTATTTGATGCATCCTTCTCTGTCAACATGGCTGACAAAGGAACCTCCAGAGCAACTTCACCTTCATCCAGAGGTTCTCTGCATGTCAAACCATATCCTTCATCTTCATACTTAGTTGCTGCTAATTTCCTTACCTGGAAAAGAGAGAAAGTTTCCAAATCTGCAAACCTTAAATGACGCTCAAACCATCCTTGTTAGACACTTCCTCGTTCCTCAATAGTAAAGAATGTGATACTTGCTTACACAAAAATGAGCTATTAAAATATCTCTGGATGGATCTCTAAATTTATAAATATTACAGTATCTTATTAGTTTCTAGTTCATTGCAGGTAGATATTAATTCATTTTCAATTTGCTTCACAGATTTTCCCATGTTAAATTGGTCCACTTTAGTCTATGAACATCAGATCATCCATTAGTAGGTACCTTAACTACAGAGGCTAGCTAGGAATATTTCAAAACATACAATCTAGATGCAAATCAAAATTTTCTCAAGAGAATAAGATCAAATAAGATTTCATTGCTGATCCAATAATTTCAATTTAGGGTTAATAGCTTATAAAATATTATTGGGCTCACCTTAATGTTTTTCTTCTCAGCCCATTTGAACAAATCTTTCAGTTGCTCCTCTCGTGCATAATGGGGTAAGATTATATCTGTAATGATGATATAACTAGAGTAATTAGCATTCAACAATAAATGTTTCAATTATTTCATTTGATTATTCCAATCAACTTAATTTCAGTGTAATTTATTTGATTCTTGATTAGTAGAACATAACAACTTATTAAGAGTTTAAGTACATGTGAGCATCCAAATAATTGACTATTAGCAAATAATAACAAAATTTTATTAATGCATATCCTCAAATACCTTTCTCTATTGTCCTGATTTGCTCAACAATGTTGTAAATTTCTTCAAAATCTTGACACTCTTGCTTTGATGATGATGCTGGACCCGGGACTTTGGTACATTCTGAGAAATTGCCTTATTTAAGAACTTTATACATTTGAATATAATAAGTAGATTTAATCTATAAGCACATACATTGCTCTAAAATATAGAAGTGAGAATTGGAAGCATTAATTGAAATTAAATATTCAAGCAAGAGAATTGGGAATAAATCATCAATTCTAGTTCTTATATTTATATTAATTCTGGACATAATGTGAAGCAGAAAATAATGTGACATAGAATCAATTACAAATGAAACACAAAACAATAAAATGCAATAAAATGTGATTCAATTTAGAATGTTGTACAAAAATTTTCTAAAATTGCAGTCAAAAATGATGGTTTAGCAAATGACTTTTGAAAATCCTGGTTGAAAAAATGTCATTTTACTTATTTTATACTGAAGAACTTGGAAAAGAAAAAAGCTGTAGAAACAGGTAAAATTGGCCAGATTCTCAGTGTTTTTGTCTGATTTATGGGTAGCTTCTGTTCAATTTTTTCCTTGGAATGTGATTTTGAGCATAAACTTTTGCAGAATAAATGTGATCATTTATACATTATTTAAATATATTATTATAATAATATTATTTTGGTATGTGGACCACCAGGACTGGACTTTTCCCAATCTGGAAAATTGGACCAAGTTTATTAAAAATTCTGTTGAATATAGCATGCAATTTCAATCAAAAATTAGTAAATTTTTTATTCAAAAGTAAATGTACAAAAGTTAAAAACCTAAATTTACAGGCAAAGGCCAAAGGGCAGAGTAATAAAGTAAATACATATCTATTCACAATTTCTGGTGGATTAAGAACTAAAGGCTGCCTTTAAACTAGGCTTCCCGCTTCTTTTTAAAAATGTACAAGGATTCCAAAATACACAGATCAGATCATCCAATCTGTGTATTTTTGAATTCTTGTACATTTTTAAAAAGAAGCCTAGTTTAAATGCAGCATTTATTTCTTATCCACTAGAAATTGTGAAAAGATATGTATTTACTTTATTACTCTGCCCTTTGCTTGAAAATTTAAGTTTTTAACTTCTGTATCTTTACTTTTGAATCCAAAATTTAATAATTTCTGATTGCACTTGTTCTTGATTTATCTAACTGACAATGGAGCTGGTCTCCAGAGCATTTTCAATTGAGATATGCTGAATTTCTGTTAAATAGATTCATAGAAGAGTCTTAGTTTACATTAAAGAATTTGAAGTGGCTTCACCCCACTATGCAGAGGGTGGATGCAGCGTCGGCAATATATGGATTTTTAAGCCCAAAGCGTCGCCGGCCATTTTAAAGATGCGTCGCCGGGTAATTTTTAATGAAAAGCCATTTACGCTGAGTAATGACGAACTATTTACAAGCCACGAACTTATTACAAGGTTGCATGCACGTGTTACCCCAAATAACTAATTTTACCCTAAAAACAGTCCGGTTGTACAGCAAGTGTCAACTGAACAAGTATTAAAGCAGTCTGACCGCTCCAATGCGACCGAAACTACGCAATCGAAAAAATGTTGTTTACATTTTTTGCGGGAACTCATCGCAACTGATTTCCGGACAAGCTTCGCTGCATCGTAATCCATCCAACATACCGGAAACCTTACTTTTTTACTAAATAATTGGCTGAAGACTGAGAAATATATTAAATGCAAGAATTTCAATCTAAATGTGTCGGCAAGATCTTCTGAAGGCAAAAATTTTGCCGATAATGCGTCGCCGTAGGTCTTTAAATCTTTGTTCACTCTCTGCACAGTGGGCTTCACCAATAGGTAAAATTTTTTTACCCATTCTATTGAATAGGTAGGCAAAAAGAATGTCAGATTTGCTGGTAAACATAAAACAACACAAAATAAATAGACATGGTAATAAAATTGGAATAAGAAATAAATAGAAAGTCAATTTAGATAACAATATAAGTGGAAGCTCTTACTTTTAATCAACTTGTCAACAAGATGTGTCAAGTCAGATTGAACAGCAGGTGATAACTTGGCCTTGGGTGTCCCCTTCAACTTGTTAATTTTTTTATTCTTTCCCATTTCTGGCTGACTGGCTTGATAATAGATTTTCTCAAGCAAGTACTGACGACGAGTGACTGACAACTGAATGAACTGATCACTAAAGAGTGGGACTGGGCCGTGGGGACTGGGCCACTGGGACTGGGGTAGCCTGGTACTGGTAGTACCTAGTTACTAATAGTTAGGTATTCATGGATGACACCTCAGAAATCAGAATCTAAGTGTTAGCTACGTTCCATGAAGGAACGTTTCGTGATACGTAGCCTAGTTTTCTTATTTGAGGTTGAAGCCTGGAGGTGTAAAAATGACTTTCTTTGCCTCTAAGCACATTCAACTTATTGTTGTTGGCGGGTTGGACTGTTGGAGGTGAAGAAGAAATGGCACGCCACACTCTGATCTCTCGCACCATCCAATTTGGTTTTCCGACTGACACTCAGAGTCTCCGACTGTCGGACGTTCTTATCATTCCGGTAGTTTAGTTTAGAATAGAAGTGTCGGCGCCCATGGCCTGTTGCCGATCCTTGTACTTTTCGTGAGTTGTTCTGATCATGGTTGAAACCTTCTCTGCGGCAACCTTCAATAGACATATCAGTATATCACAACTATAAACGCTCAAGAGCTTCTAACAAAGAAGTAAAAGTAGAAAAGTTCACCAACGCACAAAATAGCTTACAGCAATGAGAAGACGTCTCAGACAAATTAACGGCCGGACTTGCGGCCGGTCTCGCGGCCGGACTCTGTACCTAGAATATCTCCCAAAGTACTGAACGTAGCTCGATGAAACTTGGTACACATATTCATTATGGCCTAACGGTGATGTCAAGCTCGTGACAATTTTTTTAATATCGCTTTCATTCGTGAGTTATATGACGAAACGGGCCGAAATGTGCAGTGTACCAGAGATTTCTTCTAAAATACTCAACAGATTTAAACGAAACTTCGCATATAGAAACCTAACCTCCTAACGGTGATGTTTAGCTCGTGACAATTTTTTTCCGGCCGCAAAACCGGCCGCAATTACGGCCGTAAATTTGTCCGAGACGTAATGAGAAGTAGTGTGTATATACGGACCTTTCAGTATTCATTCTTTACGCTACCAAGCCTCCAGTCCTCAACAATGAATCAGCCCACAATTCGATGAGTACGATTATTATTATTGGTCTAATTGCCTCGCAAGATCATGGATCACATCGTTTCCTGTCTTCCCCAGCAAATTCCGTGTAAATCCATTTAAAATAGATCAAATTTAGATGTTTCAGTATTCAGAAATAGATATGCTGCAGTGTGCAGGATTTATAAGGAGCATATGGTATCAAAACACAAAATGAATGTGTGTTTGGACGAATTATCGTGCCGCTTTGATTAAAGGATTGAAATTAAAGACCTGTCTAAGACTTGTAACGTTATTAATATTTAAATAAATAAATTATGTTAGGCATGCTCGAGTTGAAAAAGCAAACAGTTGCGCAGGCCGAAAACTTTTTTTGAACAAATTTTTGTCGATTTGGTGCCTATAGTAGCAGAGCACAGGCTCCGAGTTTACTCACGGGAAATCAAAATGTTAACTAATTTTAGACGTTGCCTTTACTGAGAAATTTACTGAAATTATGAATAAAAATAGATAGTGGTTACTGTGCTTTACATAATTGTCATAAAAACTTTGGTAACAGCTCACGAAATTATTATTATTACAACTATTAATATTGCAAAATACACTGAATTACAATTTGCATCCATCGATCATTGTATTATTTTGAATATCAGGACAGTTGTCCAAATACTAGAGCATCTTTTCACGATATTCCTAAAGCGTGATAAATAGTCTGATAACAGATCACTATTTTCATTTAGTCCCGAAAAATTGAGGGAGATCAAGACCTTGCCACAAAAAGAATTAATTTTTCACTGAGAGTTACGTTCATGAGATTCTATTCTTTGGTCACGTGCATGATTGTATCAAATATATAAAACTATTTTATCTTTCCACCTAATAAAGTATCCAAGCTATGGATAACTTAATACTGAACGCATCAAACCTTAAAATTACTTTTGGTTTTAGAGCTCTTTGCAATAGTTTCAAATAACCTATGTATTAAAACCGACCCTCAATCCAACATTTCTTGAACTAATTTCACGTTTTGTTCATCAACTACAATCGATGCAATCCAACAGCTCTCCTCGCCATTCAGCATTGGGAAAATAACAACTGCCCAATTATTAACTATTTGCATTGGGCTTGAGCAGCATTTCTGCGAATAATCTCCATGAAATTATTTTGAATAGATGCCAGAGGGTCTGTGAGGCTTTGATCAAGTTGCCCAGCAATGATGCCTTCTCTTGGAAGTTCAACTCTCCGTCTTTTCACACTAAGGTCCTGAACTTCACAATCTTCGCTTCTTGAGCTTTTCTGGTTCCTGCTCGGTGACAACTGTTCGTCTTCGCGGTCACTCTCGTGGGTGGGTGATTTGCGCCACACGTCGTCGATATCAACGCGATCGGTAACTTCGACATCACTCTCGTGTTCTTCATTAGCGTTCACGGTTGTGGTGTCCGAACCTAACTTTTGTGCCTGTTGGATCTGCGCTAAATGGAGACTGGACATGAGACTAAGAGCTTGAGCTTGGGACAGACCAGGTTGACACAGAGCGGGAAACTTAGCCGCCATTTGCTGGGCGACGCTGTTGAAGTGAGATAAAGGGGTCAGCGTCAGGTCATGCGAGAGGTGAACCTGAGGGCGCGACAGCAGAGAACTTGTTGGTATAAGAGCTGGAGGAGAAGAGCTTGAAGCTGCTGGGAAGTGGGCATCTGAAGGAAAGTTCGTCGAAGTTGGTCTTGACCGAGCGAAAAATGGTTGGGACTGTGGTGTGAGTGGGTGATGTTCGGTCGCTGTCATAAATGATTGATGATCCGTCGTGGCCATGAGAGGGCGAGTGGAAAGATTTAGAGCCCCATCTTCTAGAGGATGTGCCGATGGTTCGCCGCCATGGGTGATGCCTCTTGAAGGGCTTCTCGAGCACATGCTGCTGGAGGGACTTGGAAGAGATGTACCTTCCTCGTCCCCCGGGGTTAATCTCCCCTCCTCCGAGTACGGGGAATGGGACCTCGGGGATTGGTGGTGATGATCCTGGTCGCCATCCAAAGAGAATGGCCGATTGAGGCCGATTTGCTGATGCCTGCGCCATTTTGCGCGTCTGTTGGAAAACCACACCTGTGAGAGAACAAAATTAAGATATCAACGAATCAAATTCTCTTATAAATAGGGCTATCAAAAGAAATTTGCTTCAATTATGGGTGAAAGAGCCCAAATTTCAGACGACAAATATAGAAAGATTTTAATTTAGGTGAACAAATTTCTTACATCAACACTATAACAAATTCAATAGAAAATTAACAAAACTCGAAATTCGGAGTGACGGATTAAGCACCTTTAGTAATTTGATTTGTTGAAGGTAGGGTATACTATTTGTCATAATGGCTCATATTTTGCTCCAACATGAACATTTACTGACATAGCACTAAAATCTGGTCACCAGGAACTAAAACTGAGGGAATGATTAAACCCTGCAAATTGCAATAAAGTTTTAATCCATACATTAGTTGAAGAGAGATTAACTTTAGCATGAAAAAAATTAAAAATTAAAAATCTCGCTTGTATAAGAGCAAAAAAGCTCAATAGTAGCAAACGACAAATTGCGAAGTCTTGAGGAAACACTGACTGACAAGTACAAAATTATCAACAAATACTTCTAGATACTAAAAGACCTGACAACTTCTAGAAACTAGAAGATTCTAAATCTTCTAGGTAGCAAAGACCAACCTGCACTCTGGCCTCGGAAAGATTAGTTTTGGCGGCCATTTTCTCGCGTGTGGCGAGATCAGGGTAGTGGGTTTTCTCGAACTCCTTCTCGAGCTCGTCGAGCTGGTCAGCGTTGAAGGTGGTCCTGTTGCGACGGAATCTTGAGTCGTTGCTGCTGGGGACGAGGCTGGGGAAGGGGGAGCTGAAGGGCATCTGAGATGCTGCCGTCAGGGCAGGTAAGGGTTGACGGAGGGCGTTTACAGCCGCGCCCTGAGAATCTTGGGGATGAACAACGTCGTGAAAATATTTGAATTTCATGCATTTTTTAATATTCGAGTAACTTAGAAAAATTATAACTCGGTTTACTCAATCAATTATTGATATTCTTGTTGAAATTTATCCTTTATGCCAAGATTTTAAGAATAATGCGGAAGAAAACAACGAATGATCTGATTTAATAATAATTTCTGGAACAAGTAATGATACTACACTCAAAATTCATAAGTTCAATTTATATCCTACAAATTCTGTCAGCATAAAACATTCGTCAGCACACTTCACCCTTACAGTTACAGTTCACGTTCTCAGACTATATATAACATCAACTATTCAGTCTTATCGAGATGTCGTACTAATCATTCGCGTTTACTAAAGCGGAAATGACAGTATACGGGAAAATCATGAATTTAAGCACTTTTGGTCAAGCAAGGAGAACGCAATTAAATCCATTTCATGATCAGAAACATTCCCTTACCAGCGTGCAGGTTTGCCGATGGGTCTGCAGACGATTGCCCGTCACCTGCAGAGTCTACACCTTCACCAGCAGCAGCAGCAGAACCGCTTGGCAGAGATGCCAGCAGAGAGGCAGGATTAGCCCATGGAAATGCTGCAGCTGCAGCAGCAGCGTACGAGTTGTACAGACCGTAGCCTGCAGCGCGAGCAAAGTCTGCAGCAGCGCGCTCTGCAGCACGGTTCCTGCAGACACAAGTCAGTTTGTCTATGAGAGATGGCGGGAAAATCTATTGCAGAAAGAGCACGGGACTAACCTAAAGAAGGGTTTTATATGACAGAGAAAAGTAAAAAAATTTTAACGTTAATGCTTTCGTGATTTGTCTAGTAAAGCATATGAAAGTGCAATGAAGCTTAATTACGTCCATAATACATCCACGTATATGTACGAAAATGTAGTTGTAAATTATTACGTCATTAAAAATATGACGTATACATACCACAATGTAGCATTTATACATCATTACAACGTGTACGTATGCATACGACATTTCAGTTACGATGGCCGACGTCGTCGGCCGTGTACGTCGACACATACACGAATTTGTACAGTGTAATGTTTAAACCTAATAACCACATTCATATTTACCACATCCAACAAATGCCAGTCTAAATATGAACGGTAGACATTTTTGTACCCGTCTTATTGCATTGCACCGACGCAACTTTTGACTACCGTGAAATCAAGAAAATAAATATTTCTTGATTACGAATAAATAAAGCAAAATTCATGATTTTGTTTTTATTCACCTAAGAACTAGGAATATTCATGATTTTCTTTTATTCACCTAAGAATTAGGAATATTCGTGATCTTTTTACTCACCTAAGAATCCTGTTGATGGACGACACCGAGGGCGCCGTGGAGTTGGTACAGACGCCGTCGGCGATGAGCTTCTCGCGGATCTCCCACGCGAAGATGGTCGGGTTCTCCCTCTTGTAGCCTTCAATTTTGTTCACTACTTGCGGGGTGGCGACTTTTGGTTTGGAGCCTCCAATCATGCCGGGAGGCCGCAGGGAACCTTAAAATTTATTTGCAAACATTCAATTCGATTGTAAGTACTGAGCGAAACATGATCCGCATTTTATTTGAGTACTTTATTACGCGTATAGCATTGAGATAACAAGCCAATATTTTAGCCCGAAAATTGCATATCAAATTACCTTCTGAGCTACAAAACACGTACGTAATTTAATTACCACAGAATATATATTTTCAGGATGGTGCAATATTACAGCAATAACCGTACGATATTGATGTAAACAATGTAAAATATTGCAGTAATAAACGCGTACAATACAGTATAGTAATTAGCTTGCAATACTGCAGTAATTAGTGCAGTAAATTCTACTAATCAGCATATAATATTGAATTAACCCGAGTAAGACATTACTGATCATATAATATTGAATTAACCAGAGTACCACATTACTGATCATATAATATTGAATCAACAAGACCACATCACTGATCATATAATATTGAATCAACAAGACCACATCACTGATCATATAATATTGAATTAACACGACCACATCAATGATCATATAATATTGAATTAACACGACCACATCACTGATCATATAATATTAAATCAACAAGACCACATCACTGATCATATAATATTAAATCAACAAGACCACATCACTGATCATATAATATTGAATCAACAAGACCACATTACTGATCATATAATATTACAGTTATTATCATGCAGGAACCCACCGAGCAGCTTGGTGACGGCCCCCTGCTGCGACACGAGCTGTGTCGCGAGCTCGTACTGCCTGAGGGCGGTGAGCGCTGCACCTCCTGCTGGGGAGCTCACCAGCGAGCTCAACGAGGTCGCCGGCACTTGGCTGGGCAGGGATAATTAGCATTATTTAATTCAAAATAAATTATTATTAATGTACGTGTTTATGTAGAAATAGCAAGAAGCGTATTAATGGAGCTTTATAATCTTTGAGGTTTTGTTTCCCGCTAACCATACCGATTTCGTTCGATATGATGTAAAGCATTTAGTTTTTTATTGAAAATTTTCACATTTTCTCTGTGCATGCAGTTGACATGATAAGAAGCAATCTATTCATAATTTTCAATGTCAAAAATATTTAGCTAGGGAAACGCGTTTGGGAAATAATTTCAGCAGCTTTTAACGTTCTAATGTTCATGCCAAAAAAATGAATGTACCTCATCTGGCTTGCAGTCGGGGCAAGTAGACCGGGCGGGAACTGCACCAGATTGTTGGGCGGTCCAGGATTGTTCTGTGATCCAGGATTGTTCTGCGGTCCTGAATTATTTTGAAAGCCATGATTGTTAATATTTTCAAAGCTGTTTCGTAGCACTAGATTGCTAGGTGTAATGGCCGGCAAAGACAATGGCAAGGCTGAAGGCATCCTGCAGAGGTTCAGAGGAACCGAAGTCGGAGGGATGGTCGCAGTCTCAGGGCAGGCCAAGATTGGAGAGTTCGGTTCCGATGTCCGGTCACAGGGCGAGTGAAAACTTTTTGGACTCATGGAGAGACTTTGGTTTCGGGGGCTTTTGTCCATGGAGATACTCATGGGTTTGTCTGAGCTAGGCCTGGGAGAGCGATCAGGGCTCTGAACGACCTGCGGCGACGAAGTTCTGCTCGTATTTTCTCTTTCGATGGCGACACTGTTATGGCTGTCTTCAATAAGGTTATTTTTTTCCTCCCCTAATGATGATATTGGGGCTAAATCGGGAACAGAAGGAGTGAAGGGCAGAGAACTTCGCTTATGAAAAGCATGCAACGCGAACGCCGCTCTGCCTGCAACGAGAAAAATCATTGCGTTAGCTATAATGTAAAAGGGATCATTTATCGACCAATACATTGCGTATTGGTAATACACCAAGAATAAAAGTTTACCTAATTCTTTACAAATATTATTTCACTGCGTTACGCGTGATATTCATGATATAATCAAGAATATGACCATTGAATGAAATAAAACATGCTCCCCACAACAAAATGAAAAATGATTCACCGCACATTCTGATGATTATAAACACAAATAAAAATGAATAATGTGGAAAATCTCACCAGCATCTATGCCGACATCAGCTGAGCTGGTAACATCGCCTCTAGCCTCTGACATGTCAGCGCCACTGGTGTTGGTGTCGATTTTGTTGATGCTACTCATCGTCTTATCGTTGATGTTGCTGCGTTGAATTTTAATGTTGTCAGAGCCGAGGTTTTTATTATTTGTGTCAATGGTATTGTTATTAATACTGTTCGTATTTTTATTAGTGATGTTATTGCCTGTGTTGCCTAGAGCAAGATGGCCACATTCATCTTCATCATTGGAATGATGGTTAATTTGATTCGGAGATTCATGAGGTTCTGACATTTTAAAATAAAAACAATAATCCTGATGCTTAATACGCAATTCCTGTGTGAATCTGGAAATGCCCATACATTAATCATTTTCATATGTAGTCTCCACAATTTAAGAAAATTGCTAATTTTGCAAAACAGAGCTGAATGATCGTTAGTCCTCCTAATAGTTTCATTAAATAGATCAGCTATTCGTAAGCCTAGTACGCATCTATATACGAACTGTCAGTCAATATACTGTACGACAACTGTGAGTAATTATTCAAGAAGTTCAGTAGAAAGTTCATCATGTAAATTTCTTCAGAAATGCCTCGAGCGTCTAAAAATTCATTATTTAAAAGCTTGCAAGACAATTTCCTACTTATAATCTATTCGTAGCAGAATATAAAATAAATAATAAGAAAGGAACGTGGCCTCGTGATACTTAAACCTGTGTTTCAATTACCGTAGACTTTGGTGAATTTTTTTTGGAGCTTTGAAGTCAACGGATAAATAAACCGTCTGCAATCAACATGCCCACCGAGGCAAGAATTTGTATATAAATTATAGGCATTCCATATACTTATACGAAAGATGGAAAGTAAATAAAATACACAAAATGAAATTAGAATTTGAGTTATTAACGTGAGTAATTCTTGGTTTGTTGGTTAATGAAATTAAAACGAGTGCAATCGCCGCATTGCAATAAATTGAAGATGAGATTTGGTTAGTCTTAGTAGCTTAGGCAAGATTCTGCACATGCAGGCGGGAATTGGGAAGAAAAATATCTAAAGGCAGTGGCAGAACGCCGGCGTTTTCATTTATTTTAGCTTTTCTACTTATTTTCGCCAAGCTCATAAGTATTTGCAAAGCTACGCCAGCTGTTCACTCAAGCAGCCATCGACGACACGAGTTTAGTCAACAATGCCACACGCTGCATCTCAGCAACCAACACTCATGCCTGAGTACATTGCATCTAAAAAGTAATTAATTCAGCAATTAATTGATTGTTTGCAGTTATGAATTGTTGATTAATTGTACTCAATTTCGTGTTTCAGCTGTTCTCACTAAGGAAAAAATGTCCATTAATGAAATACGGAAATAAAGCAAAGAAAAGCGACATTCGATACAAGAGCCTTAAAAATACCACAAGAAGTTATATAGTTTAAATTATATATATTATACAGTTTACCTATAGTTATTTGTAATAGCCTGTCCATTATAAAATTTCCTAACGTGTTAAATGCAACATTTTGCTCCGATCACAAAGTTTATAATAAGCTTACTTCAGCTTATCTTTAGTCTGACTCGAGCTTATTGATTCAGGTATGAATTTTACTGGATTGACAGGGCAGGTTATACTATACCTTTAATTGCGTGGTGCTCGAGATTTTACGAATAACCCGTTTTTGATTCATGAAAAATAACAGCATTTAACGAGAAGTTGTTGAAAGTTAATGAAATAAAGGTATTTATTTTATTGCAAAATTCATTCTCTCAATGTCGCTTAATATGAGTTTTCAATTTAAGGCAGTTTTCACTACCTTCACACCCACAAGGTTATAGAAGATACATCGATTTCATTTTTTCTTCTATATAGTCTTTGGAACTTTCTTATTGTGACTTACCAGGCGTTTATCATTTATAATATGCAATCCTAGCAGAAACGTTGACTAATCGGGCAATGAATGGTTATAAGACACTACTATTTAAAATGACATGTAGCGTAGTAAATTTGTGCAAAATAGACACCTAGCGAAAAAGAAAGCAAGCTACAACACCGCAACCACGAGAGGGTACGACACAGCAGAGCGCAACAACCACACGTGCTCATTGAGCGGCGTCAGCCCGCACAATGAATCTGTGAGCAGCGAGCATCGAAGCTCCTCAAAGCATGAGGTTGCGCACCACGCACATACGCACGCTACAGCCTTACACTTTTGGGGTAAGTTTTGGCGACGATACACACGCATTTTGGGGTAAAATCGCGTGCAAAGCGATGGCATTATACGGCAATTTCGAAATACAAGACCTACTCATTTTGTGGTGACTTTGTACGACGGTACCTCCATGTTTTGGGGTAATTCATGCAACAATATAGGAATTTTTGGAATGGGCGCAACTGAATCCAAATAAATTCTAGCTGAAAATAATGAGTTAAAACCTTAACTTCGAGGCTTGAATTGCCGTGGCCATCGATTTTAATTACATAAAATTCATGACATTTGTACTGTTATTATGGAGATACATTGTTTTGTAAAACGTGTTTTTCGCCGCCATGCTCATTGTTCAGTCAGGATGCTCAACTCGGATAATGAAACATTTCAAAGGAAGCTCAAATGAACAAGAGACTAAAATTAGAGAATGAAATAAAATTAAATATTTCACTTGAACAGCAATTATTCAATTTTTAACCAAAAATTAATTACCTAGAGTCCTCCAGTTTAATGTGTCTAACGAATAGCTTCAATTAGGAATGCTGGCTCGTTCAAACTGTCTTCGTTCTATTTCGACTTCAGAGATGCTAGATGGCAATATTATATAGTGATGGTATATGGTACAATTTCCATGGTTACGTGATATATAGTGTGTAGTGAAGATATTGCGATGAAAAGTATATACACATGGTGTAGATATGCTATAGCTATAGTGATTATTCAAATTAAAAAGCATGTACATTCACCCGGTTCATATGAATATGAATATGAATTTTCGAAGGAAAATAAATTAATTTTCCGCTGGCAAACAACTGCATCTGGTTAATCATAAATGTATGCGACTATGTTATTCACATGATAACATAACTGAAGTATGCGATGAAAAGTGAAATAGTTCATATTTAATATTTCATAATGAATAATAATAACGATTCATAGCTCAAAATGAATTATAATAATGATTCGATAATAGGTTCATAGCTCGTAATAAAATATAATGATAATTCATAGTTAATAATGTATTAAAATACTGATTAATGTTTTAATGAATTATAAGTATGATTCATAGCACGTAATGAAGTATAATAATGATTCATAGTTCATAATTCGAATTATAATAATTGTTCAAAATTCATAATGAATTATATTAATGATTCATAGCACGTAATGAAGTATAATAATGATTCATAGTTCATAATTTGAATTATAATAATGATACAAAGTTCATAATGAATTATAATAATGACTCATAGTTTATAATGAATGAGAGCTCATATGTTTGATCACAAATATCGTTGACAAATATTGCGATGTTATCTGGTTTTCCCAACACACGTTACTTATATACTCGCACCATTTAACTTCAGCAACTGCTCGCTACATCAGTATACATTCAGGCCATGTTCGTTGCTATACCTACTATTTTCTAACGTCTAGTATAGGCACCGTCGGGCAACCATTCATGGTTATTTATATACATATACTATTTACCTATTTACTTATTGGTTATATATACATATAGCATTTGAAATATCATGTATGGCTTCAAAACTTACAGTTTTCTGAAAAATCTTTTTATTTCTTTGCAACCTGAACCGATGTTATCTTTTCAACAGGTGTGGCTGCAAACCACGTATTCGCAACTGCATTAGAAAGTGCAAGGGAAACATTTACCCGTGTATATATAATGGCGTGCAGAATAAGTTTTCAGTAAGAAAAAAGGATATATGACGAAAAAACATAGTATATGTCTAAAAACCAAGAGTTTTCGATTGAAATACGTAAATGAGTTAACAATATTTTTTGGTAGAAATAAAATAATTAACAACATATTTTCGGTATAAATAATGGATTTAACACAAAACTTAACGGGGGTTGAATTGCTCTGATTTATTTGGAAAAAGTCGTGTTTTGAAGTTCACTGTATTACGTTCATAATTAATGCCATGTTATCGAGAGCCAAACTAATGCATACACGGGAATTTTTACACCGCCCTTAACGAGTTGAAATGTGATGACTTTGGTTTTATATAGATCCTAGTTGTTAATGGATTATTTTCTTTAACTTGGAAAATGTGATAAATGTAAGTTTGTTTCATTTCTGTATCCTCCGATTAATAACACTGCGCAGATGATAAGATTTCTCCTATATAGGATAAGATTTCTCAAAAATATTCAATATGTTTCAGGTAATTGTTAATTACTGCATGATATTTGTTGCAAATTGTTCACAATTCTGCCAAAATCAATATTATTACGATCCTTCGAATTTTAATTTTTCCGAGTACAAACTTCACCAAATTTGCAACTCTGCATGCAGTCTCTGTGGTTCATTACCGATTTTTAAAGCAAGGCTAACTCTCAAGTTGTGATACCTGGAAACTTAGGTCCGGCTGCTTAATGCATGAATCGTTTATGTTGATGCGAACATGCAGACAAGAATGTATATAGTGACATGAACATGACATGCAGGAGTTATTCAGTACGTTGACATAATTTCATAACGACTGTATAATGGTAAACGGGTGTTATTCAACTCTCGTATGTCGAAAAATCACAGTCAATGCAAAATATGTCGGTCTATGACGATTGTTTGATTTTAATTTAATAATATCTCGTTTATACCTAACATATAATAGTTGGAAAATATGTTGGGTTAGAACGTTTGTTTAATTTTAATTTAATAATATCTCGTATATACCTAACATATAATAGTTGGAAAATATGTTGGGTTAGAACGTTTGTTTAATTTTAATTTAATAATATCTCGTATATACCTAACATATAATAGACCCGTTGAACCCACAAGGGAAGTTGTTATTTCCTAAGGATATTTAATTAGCTTGAGGTTTGCGGCAGGCGCCCGCCATTGGCTAGGCGCGGCAGTGAGGGCGGAGCTTGTTATATTGTGCCTCGACTTGGGACGCTCGATTGTTCATATCTATTACATTTATTAGTGTAGTTAGGCAGAAGTTCTTCATTTATACAGTTTGCTTGGTTTCGTTCGGCTTATCGAAAAAAACAATAAGAAAATCGTAAATAAAAAGTACGCTCTGGTCTTCAACCAAACCTGTATCTATTACATTTATGTAGATTTTACCTTATTTTCATTCATTTTACATGAATTTATTTAGTTATTATCATTGATTCCAATTAATTTGT